GGTCTCTCTGATGAATTGCTACATATTTTTTGCCAAATGTGTTTTTTGAATCTCAATAAATTGTCTTTTTTGTCTATTTTCTAACTGGGTTTTCAGTACGACATTTTCCACAAATCGCAATCGCGCTCCACTGGCTCTTGCAATTTGAATTTTGAATGAAGGCATCGCAAAATTTGATGAAAACGCGCTCTGCTGAGAATGCCAGCTGTAAAAGAATGTAACCAAGTTTAGGGTCCTGAAATGGTATCTAGAAATTTTTCGATTTGTCTGAAAATTTCAGACTATACTAAACAAAACTAGAGCTACATTTTTGTAGTTGACAACTTTTTTAAGAAATTTAAGCCTGAAAAGATATACCAGTTTGATTAGAGAGCACTTGCAGAGTGACGATCCTAATTAGGTATCATATTTAAAACACCTAGCAAATTACTTTAAACCTTTTCCATCGACTTGAAAATTTTAGAGTTTACTAAACAAAACTAGACCTACATTTTTGTAGTTGACAACTTTTCTCTGATTTCTCATTTAGTCAAGTTAGAAGAGTCTGATTAGAGCTTACTTGTTGCAGTCCTTGAAACTCGTCATCCATGCTGGGTGGTAATGAATCTAATATATCCATTATCAATGTTTCATAGAAAACAACTTGGTGCAAATATCATCGGTGGCTCCTGGACTTTTGAGATTCAGTTTAGAGAAGTTTCTAGAAGTTTCTGGAAATCGGATAATTTCAAAATTCCAACCTTGGCATCGATAACGTCGAGGATATCACTGGAGACTTAAAGAAAGCCTTGAATCAACTGTTATTTTCTGTCAATTTCGATAATTTGAAATTTTGAAAAATAATTTTTTTTTAAAAATCATATTGGAAAATGCAAACTAAAACTTTATTGAAAAAAGAACAAGTTTAGAAACACAGTAAGAATAAAGAAATCAAAAATTAATTGGAATCCTGTGCATCTAGTTAGCTCTCCACCGTGATCTTCATCACCTCAAAGAGCTCTTTAAACATCTTTTCGACATTCTCTAACTGATATTTGTCGATATCGTCGGATTTCGTCCAACGAAGTGTTTGATCTACAAGCCCTTCCGCGCGGTTCCGTTGTTCCGAGCTCAGCCGATCACCGTACTTTTCGAGTGCCCGTTTCACTCGATACACGTAATCTGCAAACGCGTCTATGGCATTCGCCTTGTCTCTTCGTTGAGCATCCTCTTTTTCAAACTGTTTAGCTTCTTGGACCATTCGATCAATATCTGCCTGCGATAGTCTTCCCTTTTCATATTGGATAATAATACTATTTGAACTACCAGAACCCCTATCTTTAGCAGTGACATTCAGAATCCCATTTGCATCGATATCAAAAGTCACATCAATTGTCGGAGTTCCCCGTGGCGCTGGTGGGATTCCACAGAGCTTGAAATGTCCGAGTAGATGGTTGTCTTTAACCATAGCTCGTTCTCCTTCGTAGACGAAGTAGTCCACACCTGTTTGATTGTCATCAACTGTGGTGTACGGCTCGGTAGCATTTGCTGGGATACGTGTATTACGATTGATAACATTGCTCATTCGTCCTCCAACAATCTTGACTCCCAAACTCAGAGGAGTCACGTCATAGAGGACGACGTCCTTGATGGTGTCATCTCTGACTCCAGAGAGGACTGCAGCTTGAACGGCAGCTCCGAAAGCAACCGCTTCATCTGGGTTGATAGAGCAGTTGAGTTCCTGGAAACCTTCATTCGAAATAGCCTAGAGCAATCGCCAAAAACTTACCTTCCCATTAAAGAAGTCTCTGAGCAACTTCTGAATCTTCGGCACCTTCGACGATCCTCCCACCAACACAATCTCATCAATCTTGGTTTTATCTATCTCGCTATCCTTCAACGCCCTCTCCACAGGCTCCAACGTCTTCTGGAACAAATCAGCGCAGAGTTCCTCAAATTTGGCTCGAGTGATTTTCGATTTGAAATCGATACCATCAACCAGCGACTCAACTTCTACAGTAGCATCGGTTTTGCTAGACAACGTGCGCTTGGCATGCTCACAGGCGTCGCGAAGACGACGAATGGCGCGTGGATTCTCAGAAATGTCTTTTCCAGCCTTTTTCTTGAATTCTGTGATAAAGTGTTCAACTAGTCTGGAATCAAAGTCCTCTCCTCCAAGTTTCGTATCTCCTGCGGTGGAGCGAACTTCGAAGACAGACTTTTCGGCGATTGAGAGAATCGATACATCACATGTTCCACCTCCCAAATCGAAAATCAAAACTATCTTTTCTTCTGTGATCCCTCGATCCAATCCATAAGCCAAGGCTGCGGCAGTTGGCTCATTGAGGATTCGAATAGCGTTTAGACCAGCAATGGTAGCCGCGTCTTTGGTGGCTTGGCGTTGGCTATCATTGAAGTAGGCGGGTACTGTAATCACTGCATCCTTGACATCATGCCCGAGATAGGCCTCCGCAACATTCCTCATCCTTCGAAGCACCATCGCTGAGATCTCCTCTGCATTGAACTCCTTGTTCTCTCCTTTGACTTGCACTTGGATCACAGGTGTTCCATCGTTCGATTTCACAACAAATGGCCAGTTCTTAATGTCATCTTGGACGGTTTCATCGTCGAAACGACGTCCGATAAGACGTTTTGCGTTGGAAACTGTGTTTTCTGGATTACGAGACGCTTGATCCTTGGCAGCGTCACCAATAAGTCGTTCAGTTTCATTGAATGCCACATAGGATGGTGTGGTTCGGTTTCCTTCGAAATTTGCAATGATTTCGATCTGAAAACCAGGGGAATTGAAGATGAGACCCTCAAGACACACCTTTCCATTCTGATAAACCCCAACACATGAGTTTGTAGTTCCCAAATCGATTCCAATCGATCTGCTTGAAGATATATTAACACCTGATGACCATTCTCTGAAATCGATCATTTTCTAAATATAAGACTGAAAAAAGAACTACAGCTGAGCCAAGGCTTGCTTCAAGTCTCCAATGATATCCTCGACGTTTTCGATGCCAACACTGTAATTTGAAAATTTTGGATTTCGAAAAAGATTCCAAAAAACTTCTAGAAACTTCTCTCACCTGAATCTCAAAAGTCCTGGAGCCACCGATGGTCCGTTCTCATCCCGAAGAAGTTGTTTGCCATGAGACATTGATAATGGATGCTCGATTAGAGATTCAGTACCACCCAATGATACAGCATGGACGATGAGTTTCAAGGACTGCAACAAGTACGCTCTAATCAAACTTTTTTATCTTGGCTAGATGAAAAAATACAGAGAAGTTGTCAACTACAAAAATGTAGTTCTAGTTTTGAGTGATACAGTAATCAAATTTGAGCTCATTTCATAAAGGTTTGGGTACTTTTTCAAAGGGTGTTTCAAGATGACCT